ACACACGTGAAGCGGGGGAGGGGCAGAGAGAGACAGGGACAGAGGATCCAAAGTGCGCTCTGCACTGACAGCACAGAACTTGATGTGGGACTCAAACTCATGAACCATGAGATTATGACCCAAGCCGAAGTCAGATGCTTAACCAACTGAGCCACCCAGGCACCCCTCTACTTGTGCTTTGATGGAGAACGTCCTAGTAGTTTTCTTAGAAAAGAGGGGTTGTGACTCAGGTTTTTTTGGAAGCCTTGCAAGTTTCACTGGACCTAGTATTTGATGGTTTGGCTGTATAGAATTCTGGGTTTGCAGTCATTGTGAAAGCATTGTTTCCCTCCAGCTTCACGCTGCTGAGCAGTGATAGAAATCTTGTTTGCAGAGTTGCCGTATGAAAGCCATTCTTTACCCTGATATGACCCCGTTTTTGTCTGAAAGCTTGTAGGATCTTTTTATTTCTATTATGATGAAGTTTCATACCGATGTGCTTTGATGTAGGTCTGTTTCATCCATTTTACTGGGCACTTAAAAGATCATTTTAGGGGCGCCTGGGTGGCGCAGTCGGTTAAGCGTCCGACTTCAGCCAGGTCACGATCTCGCGGTCCGTGAGTTCGAGCCCCGCGTCGGGCTCTGGGCTGATGGCTCAGAGCCTGGAGCCTGTTTCCGATTCTGTGTCTCTCTCTCTCTCTCTGCCCCTCCCCCGTTCATGCTCTGTCTCTCTCTGTCCCAAAAATAAATAAACGTTGAAAAAAAAAAAAATTTAAAAGATCATTTTAATAGAGAAACTTGTGTCCTTCAATTATAAGAAATTTTCACTGACTTCCTCCCTTTCACTCTCTTTTCTCTTTTTGAAACTTCTGTTATCCAGACTTTCTGGTCTGATTCTTAAAATTTTCTCATCTCTTCTTTCTAGTTTTCCATCTTTTGGTAATTTTGCTCTGCTTCCTGGGAAAGTTCTCTAACCTTATCTCTAGCTCCAAACCTTCTTTTGAGTGTTTTATTTCTATCATATTTCTGATTTTCAAGAACTGATTTGTTTTGTGTATGTTCTCTTTTTCGTAAGCTTTTGGGGGGTGGTCATGGAAGTAATACCATCTCAAATCTCTGAGGATATTAAATATAGTTGATTTGTTTATTTGAAGGTTTCTTCTCCCTGAATAGATTGTTTCCTCCAACTGCCCTGTCCTGTGTGGTTCTTATGGTCTTTATATTACTTATTAGAGGCTTTCCTCAGTGTCTAGTAATCTTTGGTTGTTGGTTCATTGTTAAGAAAAGGAGACTAAAAAGATAGTTGGGGGCACCTGGGTGGCTGTCAGTTAGGTATCCGACTCTTGGTTTTGGTTCAGGTCATGATCTCACAGTTCTTGAGTCCAAGCCCTGCATAGGGCTCTGCTGACAGCCTGACAGCATGGAGCCTGCTTAAGATTCTGTCCCCCTCTTTCTCTACCCCTTGCCCACTCACATGCTCACTCAAGCATGCACTCTCTCTCACACACACACACACACACACAAATAAATAAACTTAAAAAAAATAACAAAAAGATGGTTGGAAGCTCTGAGCACATGAATAGTTAGGGCTCATCAACTCTGAGTTTTAGAGGGTGGGACTGTTTTGAAGATGATGTTAATATTTTAGGATTTTGTCATGGGCTGGTC